ACATATTTTACAAACTTGTTCTTTCCACTTTAATTCTTTGTCAATAATTATACCTAGGAATGTCATATTAGTTGCACTACAAAGAGTTTGTCCATTATAATTAATATTTATTAAATTATTATTTATATTATTGAAATTTATATATTGAGTTTTACTTAAGTTTATTGTTAAATTATTATTACTTAGCCATTTAGTTACGTCAAATATTGTTTGATTAATGTCAAAATTATGTTTTGTTAGTGACATATTTTTATTTGTTGTGACTATTACTGCGACGTCATCTGCGAATAAAATACTTCTATATTTAGTAATTTCAGATAAGTCGTTTAAGTATATCAAAAATAAAAGTGGACCTAGTACACTACCCTGAGGTACCCCAAACGCATTTTTTCTAAATTTGGATCTATAACTTTGACTTACATGTCTATTGTCAAGTTTTAGCACCTCAACACATTGATGCCTGTTTTGTATGAATGACTTAATCCAGTGATATGCTTGGCCTCTAATTCCGTTTTGATCTAATTTGAACAAAAGCTGATCGTGTGATACGAAGTCAAAAGCTTTTGACTTGTCAAAGAAGATGGCCGTAGTAAATAGTCCGTCGTTAGTATTTTGTAAAATATTTTTTATTAAATTAAAAGCGGCCAGTGTCGTGGATTTTGATTTTTGAAATCCATACTGAGTTGGATTTATTCTATTAAACTTATTTAGGAAAGTCATGACCTTCTTGTGCATGACCTTTTCAAAAATTTTTGATAATATAGGTACCAATGTCACTGGACGGTAATTTTCCATTAGTGTTTTTTCTTCTTTTTTTATATAATGGTTTTACAATAGACGTTTTTAATTTTTCTGGAAAGGTGCCAGATTCCATTGATAAATTAACTAAATAGGCTAATACTTTACTAATTTGATTTTTGCACGCTTTGATAACATTTGTACATATGCCATCATAACCTTCTGAATTTGTATTATTTAATGTCATTATAATTTTACTTATATCATATTCATCGACCGGTGTTAAATAAATTGAATTTTGAAGTCTATTTTGTGTATTACTGTATATAATTTTATTATTTATTTTATTTGTCAAATTAATATAGTAATTATTAAAGGCTTCAGCTATTTTCATAGGTTTAGTTATTATAAAGTTATTGTGTTTAATTAAGTCAATGTGTTTATCTGCTGCTATATGCCCTAGTTCATTATTAATAATTTTCCAAGTTGATTTTACAATATTTTTACTATTGAGTATAAACTTATTATTACTATGTTTTTTTGCGTAATTGATGCATCTTCTTAGAAGCCTTGTGTAATTGTTATATGCAACTTTATTCTGATTTGTTTTATTAATGTAATATTTGTAACGTAATATTTTTTTCGTAGAACAACTTTTTTTAATACCTTTTGATATCCATTTTATATGTGGTCTAATGTTAGATTTAATTTTTATTACCGGAAAGCAAAGTTTATAAAACAGTTGAAACAGTTCATAAAATTTATTGAAAGCTAGATTTAGGTCAGTTTCCAAAAACACTTCAGAAAACGATAAACTTTCTAAATAAGACTGAAACTTATTAATGTTTTCTTGAGAATAACTTCTTTTGAAAGAGAAAACAATTTTTGGTAGGACCTTCTTTTTTGCTTACGGTAAACCTTAACATTTGAGCAGTTTCGTGATCCGATAACGAAAGTGGAAGAATTTTCGCAGTGGCATTTGGTATGTTACTAATAACGTGATCAATACAGGACTGTCCTCTAGTAGGTCTTGTAATATGCAGATGAAAATTAAATGTTTTAATAATATCTGTAAATGTAGTCGTAACATTATCATTTACTAGTGTATTAATGTTTATATCTCCGGCTATTACAATCTTTTTTTTTTTGAATATTTATAATTACATTTATACAACAACAATTCAAGTTTTTGAAAAAAACAATCACAATGTCGTTTTATTTTTGTCGGTGTTCGATATAAACATATAATTAATATATTGCTATGGGGAATTAACACAGAACAACATTCAAAATGGAACGAGACAGCCAAGTCATCAAAACAAGTTATCTTTTTAAAAGGCATTCCTCTTTTAACCATAATACAAGATCCACCTCGTTTTCGTCGTTGTCGTGAAAAATACGACGCTATTTCATAGTTTTTAATTATCATATTCTTTTCTTCTCCAGATTTTACAAAAGTTTCTGTAAAACAAAGGACATCTGGATTTATTTGATCCTTAAGCTCTGAAAGTGTAATTTCGATTATTTCCTTTTTAGACAACAGACCTTGAATATTTTGATGCAATATATTAAAGCCGTTGGCAGTCTTAGGAACGAAAAAAGTTGCATTATTTAGCGTGGGCGTCGATGTGCATTTTATTCTTATTGGGAAAATAATAGGGTATAGTTCCTTTTTAGCGGCCTTCATATTATTAGAGCATATTAAGCTCGATTGCAATGTATGTGTTGTCTTGTCAATATGTGTTACGTTTGCTGCCTTGAAATAATAAGGGATAGTGCCTTTTTTCTTAGGCAATTTACGTTGTGATATTTTCTGTGCATCATTAGCGTTTTTTTGTAATAGTTTTATGTGTCGCATTGTATTTTTAAATGTAAGAAACTGTAGATTATATTCATTTATATCTATATTAAAGTTGATTTTTTTGCAAATATAATTTAAATAGAATTTCATATTTACATTACGATATTTCATATATATAAAAGTACAATTTTTTAAATATTTAGACCATAAATAAAATTTATTATTTAATTTATATACATTAAGATATGGATTATAATTAACGGGCATAATATAAACAGTGACTTTCTTCAAAATGTTGAGAATGGAACAAAAATTAAAATGTAATAATTCAGGATTTTTATCATTACCCCCTACACCTAATACAACAATATCATTATCGGATAAATTATTAACCATATTATTACAATAGTGTAGAATTTCACTACTAGTTGCATTGCTCATTATATATGCCGAGGGATTGTATTTATCATTCCATTTTCCAAGTCTTGTTTTAATTAAAGCTGCCGATAGGCCCAGCAATTGCTCATCACCTATTATGTGTATAGATTGACTTCGCTGCAAATTTTTAGTACCTTCTTTTTTGTTTGTATCTGACGTATCACTACGAGAATTATTACACATTACTAATTCATTAAATCTTGGTAGTGAATTTTCTCTATAAAGATTGCTATTGTCTTTACTAGATGGCGTTGTTTGATATTTACATTGTTCTTGTTGTTTAGTAGGGCTTTTCGTTTCAATTAAAGAGAAATCCAATTTACTTTTATTTATATTCTTCTTTTTTTTACATGTGGAGCTCTTTGGAATTAAATTTTTTAGGTGAGGAGTGGGCTTGCATAATTGGTTTAGTTTATTAATTTTTAATTCATATTCCGAAATTTTATTTTTTAGGGCAAAATTTTCTGATAAAATATTCTCAATTTCATTTTCTGCTATTTCTAATTTCTCTGTAAGATAACCTATTTTCTTCTCTAATTCTTCTATCTTTTCCGGGTTAACAGAACCTAGTTCTGGGCAACTTCTATTTAATTCACACGTTTCTAGTAGTGACGAATACTCGGGCTCTTGCTCGTCCGATGACAGAGAGTCGAAAGAATTCTTCACAGGTATATTAATCCGATATTTATTTCTGATTGTTATGTTATTTGATGGTGTACGTGTTGTTCTTTCTTCATAACATTCTTTACATTTCCACTTATTTTTAGTATCAACCGTCATTAAATAAAATCTTTTATTTGAAACATTTGTACAATCCAAATGGAAATGCTCCTTACAGCTAGAACAGGTTAAGTATTGTTTGTCAGATATAACAATTTTACATTTAAAACATACATTCATTTTGCGTATTTCTGGTTTTATCTTTCAAGATTAATATAATTTGTACATATTACTTTAATGCCACTCTATAAATAAGCGTCCTCTGTTGGCCAAACGTCTGATAACGTTTGTGATAATCGAATAAACATAAGCGTAGTTTTAACATTTGCCATAAGATGGAACTATTTTTTAATTTTTTTTGTTATTTATTTTCAATAATTATCATAATACTAAAATAAACACCCAAGTATCTTGAAATTTGAGTTAGTGTAAAAGAATAATCGTTCTTTAGTTACAGTGATTGTTCGTTTTGTCCACTAAAGAAATAATAATTAAATATTTTTTGAATAAACTATGTAACGGTCTTTTATATTTTTGAAATTATAAGCTCAATTAATGGTTACTTTCCTGCAAATTCTTATATTATCCACTTAGTTTTTTGATAAAAAACAGTTTTCGTTCACTTTATCACACATTTTGATATTTCTTTTGTTATTAAACACTTCAACGTTAGTTCCATACAAAATTTAAATTAACAATGTTCACACTTAACACTTCAACTGGATAAAGTTTGTAGTCTTTAGTTACATGATTATGAACTCACTTAACTAAGAAATAACAAAAATTGTTTACATTTAATATTTTTTAAAACTTATAATTTACGGAGCCTATGTTGACGTGACAAGTACCTTATGTAATTTATAAGAAAGTTCAGAATATAATACTTTAATGTGGGTTTTTAAGTTATCTCTAATGGAAAACCGACGACGACACTCCTCATTAAGGCAAATATTCTGAGCCTTGGAAATGGCAACACTGGCCGCTCGACTATGTGTGCTAGAACGTATTTGGATATAATTGGGAATAACATGAAGTTGTTTGCACTGCTGATTAAACCAACCATTTTGAGTAGCAATACGATGTAGTTTTGTTAATTTAACATTGAGTCTTGCCTGTTCGGCCGTGCTAGCCTTTTTAAGATAATTGATAGAATCACGGTACGTATACACCAAAACCGATTTTGTCGGCCGATGGCGGACCGAACTACTCGGACGAGTTACTCGGACGTGTATGTGCTACAGTGCCGACATCGGACGTTGCCAGTATTCTGTTGACTCTGTTGCTTAACAGACGCGTTTTTAAAATGGAGGAATTTGAAGAAATGTATCTCTTTGAAAATTCATACCGCAATTTAATTCGTCGACGTCATCGTCGGCGACATCGGCGTGTGTGGGTTAATGAAATATTTATGTACAGAAAACAACTAGGTGAATACCATCTTAACTCTATAAATACTAAAATTCAGTTCACAATGGAGTTAGAGGCAAACAATTCCTTAGCTTTTCTAGATGTGTTAGTAATTCGGAATCCTGATAACACCTTGAGCCATACTGTGTATAGAAAAAAGACCCATACAGATAGATATTTAAACGGTGATTCTCACCACCATCCTTCACAGTTAGCTACCGTGGGTAAATCTTTGTTTCAGAGAGCACGAGGGATCTGTGACAGTAAACACCTGGCTGCCGAGCTCCAACATGTCAAGCAAGTTTTGCATGACAACAAGCTTCGGGTCCCGCGCCTAAGTCACAGAGAACGAGTGAAGCCGGCCACAGTCGAGCGTGTACCTGCTGTACTGCCATATGTTAGAGGAGTCACTGACAAGATTGGCTACATCTTGAAGCGCGCTTCCATCAAAACATACTTCAAGCCGCCGAAGAAGATTGGTCAGTTTTTACCATCAGTCAAGTGTAACGTCCCTCTGCAAGATGCAGGAGTGTACAAGCTTGATTGTGAATGTGGTCTCTCCTACATAGGACAAACTAAAAGATCAATTAAAACCCGCGTCAAAGAACATATAGCTGATGTGAAGAATCGACGCTCCGGGAAGTCTGCAGTCTGTGAACATGTACAGGATCGCCCCCGTCACTACATCAGATTTGATAGACCACAAATCCTCGCTAAAGAACACCGATTCCTTCCAAGGATGATTCGCGAGGCTATTGAAATCAAAAAACATCCTAATTTCAATAGAGAAGATGGCTGGGTGCTACCATCTGCTTGGGATCCTATAATAAATAAAATTAAATCCCAACCCAAGCATACAACTGCAAGACTCCATGATACCATAAGTTCATACTGTGTAGATCGGAACAAAAGTTAAATTTTAATCTATGGTAACCGCGGTTAACTATGACAGCTGGACGTTGAACATCTCAGTCCTTCCCGTGACCATGGGTGCTGTAAAGCTCTCGAAACGTCGGGTAAAAAAGTTAAATATACGCGATAAATTCCGTAAAAATTAGTATTATTTCAATGTGTAGTGTTCGCGTAAATATAAGAAATCATTAGGTGAATACCACCACCTTTTTGAAGAATTAAAATTACAACCCATGAAGTTCTTCGAATATTTTAGAATGTGTTTTAGCACATTTCAATATATTCTAAATGCAGTCGAACCACTAATAACAAAGCAGAATACAAACTATAGGGAATGTATATCACCGACGGAAAGACTCGCTATAACATTGCGGTAAGTATAGATGGATGTAATTTTATAGATTTGTTGTAGGGTTGGTTAGGCACTTAACGACAAGAATTCTTGTGACATAATTATTAACATGTTACCTTTCATTTCAGGTACCTTGCAACTGGACATTCTTTTCGATCTTTAGCATTTTCGTTTAGAGTGTCAAATAGTGCCGTTGGAATAATTGTCAGAGAGACTTGCAAGGCTATATTTGATAGTCTAGTATCACATCATATGCCTATGCCAACCGACGAAATGATCCACCAAAATGTTGAATTATATTGGTCGAAGTGGGGATTTCCTAATTGTATTGGTTCGTTGGACGGTAAACATATTCGAATGAAATGCCCTTCTAATTCTGGTAGTATGTACTATAATTACAAGAAATTTTTTTCCATTGTTTTACAAGCGGTTGCAAGCCCAGATTACAAATTTTTATTTATTGAAGTAGGAGCTTATGGACAACAAAGCGATGGTGGTACGTTTGCCTCTTCGGCTATGTATCGTCAGTTTGAAAATGGGTATTTAAATATTTCTAAATGTTTACCAAATACAAATACCTTGTTGCCCTTGGTATTACTAGCAGATGAAGCCTATCCTCTAAAAAGGTATATTATGAGACCATATCCAAGACGTAACCTGGGAGAGCAGGAAACAATTTATAACGAACGTTTATCAAATGCCCGAGTAGTAATTGAATGTGCTTTTGGTATAATAACACAAAAATGGAGAATATTGACCAAATGTATAGAAACAACTACAGAAAATGCTGAGACTATTGTAAAGTGTATTTGTTTATTACACAACATTGTTGTAGCCAAAGAAGGACAACCAAGGCACAATCATTCCACAGATCAAAGGAGAAATTTAGGTCAAAGAAGTAACTATGCTTCTAGAGGGCAAAACAGAAGTACGACTGAAGCTTATAATATTCGTGAAGCTTTCAAACACTTCTTTAGTAATGAAAATATGGTTCAATAAATTATAATTTTTCAATTAATTTTATTTTAAACCCTACTGTAATAAAAAAAACGTGTGAAATTGAAATAAAAATCCATAGTTTAGTGACCTATTGGTTTTATTTTAATTAATAAGTATTATTTAGATGTACTCGTAATAATAAATGGAAAAATTATCGTAAATTCGAGTCCAAATCTGCATTAGTGATCGTGTACAAATGTTGAACGCTTGAACTAGGTATTTAAATACCTAAACACTGCCAAGTTTTAACACATTCAATGCCAACAACACGGCGCCGTGGAGATGTGTATGGCCGAGTACACGGCGCCGTGTAGTTGGCGTTGAATGTGTTTAACAGTCCGACAATTATGCATTTATCTTACTATTTTAACCCTACAGTGGGCGCGCCTTTTCATGGAACGTAAGTGGGCGCGTGTATAGCATTTTGCCGCTCTTAGAAAAGCTAAAATATTACATATTAAATGTTTAAATTTACTATAAATGAGAAAAGGTTAGCCTTAAATAAAACATAAGCTTTTAGAATAATTATAACTTTTTAATTCAGTCTCATAAATCAGTCTAAAAAAATCAACTTAAAGTTATTCTCAAAAAAATGTAACAAAATATGGAACGACTTCATATAATCTCTTATATAATAAACAAAACCGTAAAAAATTAGATTAAAAAAAACTTATTAAGCATCTTGGCCGTATTCCCCGTCAAAACAACACTCACACAGGTAAACACAGTGCTCGTTGCACAGTAATTTAGCACATACTTTGTACCCTTTTTTTGTTCGTCGATTTTTTCTCGTAGGACATATTGAACATATTCCCTCTCGCTTTTCATGGGTTTCTTGGTTCTCCATTGGTACAAATCGAGCGATTTGTCTTTTTAGTGTACTCGGGAATGTCATTATGCTAGATCTTTTCATTAAATGTGGCCTGACCAGGGCGAGGGATATCTCTTTTAGGTACATTCTACGCAGTAAGACAGTTTTAGTGTTTGCTGTGTAAATAATTTGACTATTTATCCCACCAATATTCAAAGTTGAAAAGAATAATCTCATTGGCCACCTCCGAGTCATTCTGCCCACAGAGTATTCTTCTTTCATCTGGTCAACAGTATCCACTCCACCCTTAGTACCATTATAAAACGTGATTACTTCGGGCTTCGCATCATCACCGGTTGATTCATCTATCTTATAGTCATCATGCAATGTTGACAAAAGTAGAACGACTTTTTTGGTTTCTTGTTAGGAACATAGGATACAAGCACTTTTTTTTTTCATTGAAACCAAACATTGTACTTGGGGTAGCTCTTTCTTTCGTATTGAGAAACTGCAGCGGAATTTCTTTTTCATTTTTTCTCAAAGTACCTACAATAGTTGTACGGTAAGAGTGCACAAGTTGATTAGCAAGTGGAATGGATGTGAAATAATTGTCCATTGTAAGGTTTCGGCCTGTGTTCAAAATATTTTTGACCAATCTCATCACCAGAGATGTAGGACTATTGTCAACAGAAAAGCTTCCTTCTGGTTGCTTACCTGCATAAACTTCCAAATTACTGGTATAATAGGACTTTGAATCAACGAGAGCGTTTATTTTTATGCCGTACTTAGCTGGTTTATTTGCCATGTAAACACGAAACTTGCATCGTCCTCTAAATGACTCCAACATCTCATCAATAGTACCATTTTCTCCAATCTCATAATAAGCTAGACAGTTACGTACAAAAGATTCAAAAATATCTCTCATTGCCGCCATGTTATCTAGCTTGACCCGCTCCGTTCTAGTATGAATGTCGTCAAAACGAATGTTCCTCATCAAAAAGTAAAACCTCTTGATTGACATAGTTGCTTTGAATATATCAGGGGAAGTACCATCATCATTCCACATTTCGTGAATATTCACATGATGCATTTTTTTCAAGCCTGCCATCAAAAGAAGACCTATCAAAGCTTCTATTTCTAACATATCAGTTTCTTTAGTATCTCTTTCTCGTAAAAACTTGTGCTGGTTAGCACGTATGCGGATGTTAGTAAAAGAAACTATACCTTCTAGCATTTGTTGAGTAATGAAAAGGCGGAAGCAATCTAATGGCGTCTTTGAATTTTTAGCATTTTCTCCACGCACTCCAGGAGGATTCGTAACTATATTTTCAGCTCTTGTTCGTATGAAAGGTCTTGAAGGACTTTTTAACCATTTTGTTCCATCTTTACCTTTGTACACAGGCACTCTTAGAGGACGATTTGTAGTAGGTTCAATGAAATTTCTCTCAGTTTGAAATGTTCGAATTGGTCTTACTCGTATGTGAGTCAAAGGTTCATCGCTCGATGAATTTGAAGATGTTGATGAAGATCTAAACGACAAACGTTCACGATGTTGACGTGCACTGCGAGATGGTCTCCGGAAGGTGACAGGAGAACGGCTGCGACTCCTAGGAATCGTTGTCAATTGATTGAAACTAGTCGATGGCCGATGATCGACTAAATTGAGTCGATGGAAACATGTCTCCGATGACATCATTTCATCTCCTGACTGTTCGGTATCACTATTATGTTCCAAATTTTCACTGTCCCGATCGCTTTCAGACATACTTTCGTCGAAACATTGTGCACCGGTCTCTTCTAAATCAGACTCCTCTAACCACGAACAAATTTGCGCGTCTTGCTTATTCATTTTGCTGAAATGAAAAGCTGAAAAGATACAAAACAATACCTCAGAATAAAAAAAATAACTCTAAATTTCATAAAATTATGCTACACGAGTACATAAATAAACAAAACCATGTAGTACTTACCAAAAAATAAATGTCATTTGGCCAAAAATAAATATGTTACAACGTTAAATTTTAACTACGTCAGTGGGCGCGCACTTAGCAATTTGCCGCGTCGCAGGACTAGTGCACAACAACTTCGTCCTCCTGTGGTTGGCTGCGCACTGATTGTTTCGTAACTACAAGGGGGGGGGGTGCGGGAGGAGTGTACACGCAGTTACTGAGACGCTTGATCTTCAATAACTAACGGTTTAAATATTATTAACATTTTTTTACAAAGTGCGGTGAAATGCTCATAGCGCGCCCACTCTAGGGTTAAAACAACACGTGTCACTAAATTTTAGTGAGACAAAGTGTGCCATACTGTTTACCATTGAATATTCCTACGCACATAAATATTTTTGTTTTCTTGGTCCATTCTTGTACAATAAAATAAATAAGCAACTAAACTTATACATTATCAATAAGAATCAATGTAAAAAAACCTATTCAAATGGCTTCAAAAACTAGATTTTTCTATAGGATAGGGTGACAAACGAGCACACAGTCCACTTCTCTACACTCACCATACGAAACACAGCAGCATTAAGCTACTATTTTACGTAGGTACTCTATGAGAGCGTGGTCCTTCCCCGGTCGAGCCCACCCATTCATGCTAACTATAATGGCTGTAGCGTGGATCTACCATGTAAATTGTAAATGATTAAACAGAAGAATTATTGAAATCCCTAAATAACTGAATTACCTTTATAATGTATAATTAATACACTATTAAATTATATCTTCTTATTATAATTATTACTTTAATGAATACTACTCGACCTCTCCGTCGCAAACACACAAAACACATACACACATACGAAAAGAACAATTTACACTCAACACTTAAAAACTAACTTATATATTTAGGTTTAATTTTAATACTTTAAAATAATACTGTTTGATATATGTTTACGTAAGTTTCTTAATCATTAAGATTTCTGTTAAAATGTCTTAAATACAATCTTGGTATTTTTTTTTCCTGAATAAAGAAATTATTATTATTATTATGTTGATGATTGTGAAGGAGTCGTTTGAAAAGTGCAGCCTCTTGACAACGCATGGAGTAAATGACATATTCTACCTAATTCTTCGGAGTAACGGCTTACAGGAGAATACTGTAGTTGGGTATTTTCTTCTTCCATGAACACGTCTAACAATTTTCGTTGAACCAAGATTTTTCTATTTCGTGGCACTTCTTTTAATTAAGTATGGAAGAAAACTCAACAAAAAGTTACGATCAGGATCATCTGCAGATTTATCTGCTGACCTGGACTCATATAATTGAAGTTTTCTTTTTTCGATCTCTAAATACTCTTGGTCCACATCAATATTTCTCTTTTTCATAAGTCTTCCAGGTTTATTGGATGTAAAACGATGAGCTTGCGTTATAGGTACACGAATAGGTTTGGTATGTGGTCTAGTATGTTGTTGTGACGTGGAGAATACTGCTTGGCTTGAATTCGAAGCTCCTAGCTGCGACAAAGATGAAGGTCCAGGCTGCAATAAAGGTGCGGGTGTGGGCTGCGACAAAGGTGAGAGTCCAGGCTGCGGTACTGTTTGTGCCTCTGATTCAGGTGAATACTTAGAAAAATAGGAGGACTCCGCAATATCTTCAGTTTCTTGGCTGGGAGGTTCAGGCACATTTCCGGTTAAAGTTTTCGGTGTGATTTGTTTCGCCGACAAGAACAGTAACGATTCGTAATATATCCACGAAGTTAATTTGTGATCCGCCGCAGCACCGGATCTACCTGGTTCATTGCGTTTGTTATATTCTTTACGGAATTGGTCCCTTAAATTGGTCCATTTTTTTTTAATGTCTGGAATCGCTATATCCATTTCCGATGCAACTTCAGCCATAACCGTTTCGAAACATCTCGATTATTGTAATTTTTTGAATGTTTATCCCACAAGGTTGGTCTACTAAAAACACAACTAATTAATTTTTCAATATCCATAGTCGTTTAGGTTATAAGAACGCTGACAGAAAAAAACAGAATTAATACAGAATTATTAAATTAAACTATAAATACACTTAATTTTCTCTGTAGACGCCGGCAGTCTGGCGAGAAATCCCAACAAGTTCGGATCGGCCGTTTTCGTCTGTCATCGGACGATGGCGGTCGTGTTGGTGTACGCGATCTCTTTGTTTTACAAGTGTTTGATTCGATCGACGGGGTTCGGCCGTCGTTGCCCGAGCAAACTTCGGCCGATGACGGATTAGGTGTAAGCGAGCCGTTGATCGGATTTTTTCGTGCGTAATCGGACGATGCAATCGTGTTGGTGTACGCGCTCTCTTTGTTCCACCAGTGTTTGATTCAATCGTCCGAGTTCGGCCATCGTCGCCCGAGCAAACTTCGGCCGATAACGGATTAGGTGTACGCGAGCCGTCAGGCGTTACTACGTTTACTACGGAAATCCATTATAATAAAAAATAAAAATATAAATTTCTTCGCAACCTTCCGCCAAACAAATACAATGATGTGTCTTACCTGGATTGGAGTGTCGTCGTTGGTATAATAGTCGGACTTCGTCTAACAAAATGGTTCTAAATGGTGTAGTCTACCTTCCCTTTACAGTTTTGCACTCATCTTCCAATCAAACTTTATATATTTTAACTGTATATATAAAGATTGTAAACAAATCTTACATTGTAATTAATTATTCTTGTTGATTATTCAAAACGGCATCTATCCCCCATCATGGGCCCCTAACCTTCTAAGCAATTTCATAGTGAGGCATCTATGCATACAGGCAGGTAGACATTTATCCCCAAAAAACTTGTTTCGCAAGAATTCAATTTTTTCAAAACTAGTAAGTTAGGTCAACAAATACAGATTCTAAAGCTATATCAATGATTAAACTATATTACAAGCATAATCTATGCCAATATATTTGGTATTAAAATAATGAGGCCCTTTCTAAGACTGAGGCATCAATCCCGGTTTTACCCTACGTCTTGAATTGTTTGGCATGTCTGTGGCCACAGGATCCTTCGGCATACCGAAGTATGCCTTGCCATGCCGTGCCGTGTGTGAGCGCAGACCTTTGTGGAGAGATAAGTGATCCGACGAGTCGAGGTCAAATCTATTTCGCAAGGGAAACCATGGTTGAGCGTGTGAATCTTTCACTACAGGGAGTTTCCAAATGGGGCGATATCAATCTTGAGATTTAAACGCCTCCAAGACACAAACGTGTCTCTTCACCTCAAAAACATGTCAGCTCACCTTGGCTTCTTCTACTTCGCTGCGAATTATCGTTTCCTCGAACCTGAACTTTGGGCAGTCCATTAAGTCCTGGCAGATCGGTGTCGCACGCTTTAAAGATGGGTAATTTAACATTAAAATAAACAGTTAAAAATAAAACATTTATTAAATGAATAAAAGTGTAGCATAATGTATAAAATTATCATAATACCTGACCCATTTATTTAAACTGTCTTAATACTTATCATGAATGAATGATGAATATCTTTTGGAAGTGTTAATATTATTTTTGTTGTGGCAGATAGAAAATAAATATTTTTTTACTTATTCGAGTCACGTCAATTTAATCTGTGATACTTTTAAGTGGGAACAAAACAAGAAACATAAACTAAATGTAGTGTAGTGTACATATGTATTATTTAACTTAATGCAATACAAACTTACCAAAAATAGGACCGAAATAACCACAAACTAACTTTTATCACTTCGTAAATAAAATGCTTAAAGTTTTAAGCAATCAACCATGCGCGACATTGCATCACTCCCGATAGTACAAGTTAGTATCAGCGGGGTTAAGTTTAATAACTGGGAATTCAGAGAAGGAAAGAAAGCTATTTATTATTTTATAAAACTCAGACATATATGATTATCAAACAAATAAAATAATTATCATTTCATTAGTCTTTTATTTATCATCTTTGCACAACTCTTGCACGTTCGCTCGATGATGCAGTCATACGAAGGTCGAGCGTGCACGTGCAGAAGGTATATTTCTGCTTGCAGTTAACGCCTGGGATTGTTTTTAAAATTTTGTAAACTATTATGGCGTCGATATTTTCCCTTTTGTATGGGAGTGATATATCTATTATGTAGTAACATTATTTCGTCTGTGGTCTAAGGGCCTAAGCAGCTGCAAGAAAATTGGGTGTCCTTGCAAAGGTGCGGCGATACTTCACGCCTGGACTGTTGATTAATCTATATAAAGCGCAAGTCCGGTCGTACATAGAGTAATGCTGCTATATATGGGATGGTGCTGCAAAACTTCTAGCGGCTTTGAACTCAACGGAAAGGCGTACTAAGAGGCTTATTGGTGACACCAATATGGTTTGTACTAATCCCACCAGTCAAGCAATGCGCAATGTTGGCATCCTTTCGATGTTTTTCAGGATACATTTCGGAGTGTGCGCAGAAATTACATTACTTAATCCCTTCCTCCGTCCCTCTCCGATCCATAATCGGATCACCTGGTGCACGGCTGTTCGCCACTCCTTTGGAGACAAACTACGCATTTGAACCATACGGTTTGCTTCGTCTTTCATAATGCGTACAGCAAATTAGAGAACTAACTTGCCAGCATCTGCCTTTCCATCCGATAACAATGTGTCTTGAAGGAAAGAGTGAATACTCTTTTGTTCAGCTAGGTTAGTGCGTTTTACCATCTTCGACTGCATAACCACTTACCAGCAGGTGAGATAGGAGTGAAGTACTGACTTATAATAGTAAAAAAAACAGAAAATATTGCGATTTAGTACAGATAAAGAAGTTGCCAGGTAGAGTAGTGATCTGGGCTATATTTTATCAGAAAAACTAGAATTTTTTTAATTGAAAAATTCCTAAAATCAATGGACTTCAATGATTCATAATAAATGACCTTTTAAATAAAGCGCTAAAATTCATAAAGAGTTGGATTGAAACAACCTATGATGCCACTTAAATGATTTCATTATAATTTTAAAGTAATACAAGAAGTAAAAAGTCTGGATACAGGGTAAAATACTTTTATTAATAAAACAATAAAAGGAACAAGCGAAAATCGTCAATAAAAGAATCAACAAAGAACGTACAACTAAAACTAATAATACAAAAAATGCTGCCAAATGTTTATTCTTACAATTAACAGCTGCCATATTATATATTCGAGGGATGGCACGTAATAATACTAAAATTGTACTGTCGATAAGAAAATCCACTTTGTGGCATATCCAAATACTTAAATCGACAAATGTTTGATCAAATTTCCAAATGTTTATAGCATTAAATACCATAATAAGCTCTATTAAAAATCTAAGAATTTGATAGAAAATTTGAGAATTATTGATAGCAAAAGAATGATGTTTTATAAAATATACTATTCTGGGATATGATTTTATAACTATCCTATAGGGGTCCAGTGTATGGTCCAATGTTTGAATACATTTGTCGCAATATATGTTGTACATAAAATGCGGTCTAAAACTTATTCTTAGGCTTAATAATATTAGAATACAATTATCAACTACATATATGGCATTTCTATGACTTAGTGTGAATACTTCAAAGGAACATTTGTTTCTATCTTTGGTGTGTTAAGCGTTTCCGTTGTTGGTGTTCTTGAATGATATCTGGTAGAAGATCCAGTCCTCGAGGAAGGACGGCACGAAGGCCTTGCTCTTCGTATACTTGACGGCAGGGTTCAGCTTCATCAGTTCTTGTTCATATAGCTCCAAAGATTCTGGAGAAGTCGCTCCATTACCCTGGAAGTATACAAACATTTGCATAATGTTTCATATTTCCCTCCCTCCTTGCCATTAGCCTGTATACACACAATCTGCAAGACGTGTGTACGATATCCTACAAATAAATAATAGACCTTATAATTATAATAAGAAAGTTTGTTCGCAATTGATAATAAACATATTCGAGTTTGAGGATGTGCTAAAGCGCCAACCTTCCCATAGAAGGACCGATCAATAAACTCTAAGGGCTTTCTAAACCATGTAAAGCGACAGTAGCATAATGGCAGGGCGCCGACCGCGAACTCAAAAAGTTCGTGGGTTCGAATCCGCCATTCGACTACTGGCGTGAACCACTCGTAACACAAGCAATTTAAGATTACCACGAGTGGTTAAGGGGAATATTAGTAATGTTTATAGCATTGTTAATATTCTTTAGGGTTTTTTGTAAACACGCTAATCTCTGGAACTATCAGTCTGATTTGAACACACTTTCCTTTTTTGTATATAATAGTCATATTCATAAGGAATAGTATAAGATACACCTCTCAGCTAGCCTCAAATATTAATGTTTGACAAGTAAGTCAAAAAAAGGCGCCCTCGAACTGCTTTATCCGCGTGCACTGGCGTAATTGTTAGTGATACATGAATACGATTACCTAATTGGTTGGAATGAAGAAGATCGTGCAGCTAATATGCTAGTATATAATATAATATACACAATAGATAAACATATAAATCCACATACATGGGTCATAAACTTGCCCGTGGGCTTGAGAATCTGGAAGGCGGCCCGCAGTATGGTGATCATGAACTCCCACAGCTCGCCGCACGCGGAATCCGATATGGGAATATCGGTCAGGTCGCCGAATATGTAATCCACCTTCTTGTTCTCGCTGATGAACTTGTTCACAGTTAGCATGCAGTCTTCTACGATTATCTGTAAATTACATATAATGAGTTTTTTAAATAACGACACTCAAACTTTTACTCCATACGACGGCTATCTTGGTAAAGCAACGGCTGTAATAGCCCCTCTACGCGATGGCCCACTATGATGAATCAGCGTGTGGTGGAGAGCGTAGTTGTGTCGGATGGCTTATGGCGCGTGTGATGGTCTTGGGGATGGTGACGGTGTCGG